AATGGCAGAAAGAAATTAACATAACTCCATGAATAATTTTCAAAGACAGGATATGAAAATTCAACTTACTTTAGGATCAGATGTGATAAGGTGGAATGCTTCTTTAACTTGTTCAGCTGTAGCACCACCACCGACATCTAAGAAGTTAGCTGGCTCACCACCATGTAGTTTTATAATATCCATAGTAGCCATGGCTAAACCAGCACCGTTCACTAAAAATTTAAAAGTCATTGTTATTTTAGTATTATTACATCTCAGAAGTGGACACAAATAATGCAATTTTGACCAAAACATTTTAAAGCTACATATACAGAAACAGCAAGTTGAAAAAAAAAAATGGAGCAATGTATGCTGCCTTGCATTGTTTCATGGCAATACATGATCTGAATCACTACTCAGCAGTTGGTTGGAAAGCACAGATGATGCATAGAGGCAGTCACACTGTGATGTTATTTGGTTACATATTCACCAACTGGCATGCACATTTCTGATGACAATTAAATGTTCCTCACTGATCAGTACTAGCTTGTGATCTGTTGAGACAATTTTGCTTATAAGTAGTTTTATTAACATATTATTATTGTTTTATCTTTGAGTGCAAATGACAAGTACTTGCCAACCAGAAACTATGCACGTGCAGAAATATGCCTATAAAAACAAGCCATGCATGGCACAGTCCCAGTTAGTTATCGAATTTAAGATATATAGTTTTGTTTACAGTAATATAGCTGGAATATAACCATGTCAGGAATATGATTTTTTGAACATTAAAATGATTGACATTTGTATCTGATCGTTAAACAAGTACAAGATATTGCTCTGGAACAGCATTCAAAATCAGCCATTTGAATACATGTATATATATAACATTTGAATATAATCAGTCAAAGCATTAAGAGATATGGCTTTAGAAGCCCAATCATTAAAACAAAATGGCCGCCAGTCAGCCATTTTGAATCTAATCTGAAAAATAAAATGACGTGCATCAGGAACCCATAATGTCTAATGTATGTACCAAGTTTGAACAAAATCCATCCATAAATGCCAGAAATGCTTGATATTGATGATTTTTTAGCACAATAATGACCACAATTCGGCCATTTTGAATAGGATCGTCAAACCAATATATCTGTTCATCTATGACATGATTTATAATGAATAATTAAAATTTGAACATAATCAGTGAAAGCAAGTCAGAGATATGGCACGAGAGCCACATTCATTAAAACAAAATTGAATCTTATCTGAAAAACAAAAGTATTCGCATCAAGGTCCCATAATGTCTAATGTATATACCAAGTTTGAACAAAATCTATCTGTAAACAGCCGAGAAATGCTTGATTTTTGATGATTTTTTAGCACAATAATGACCACAATTTGGCCATTTTGAATAGGATCGTCAAACCAATATATCTGTTCATCTATGACATGATGTATAATGAATAATTAAAATTTGAATATAATCAGTCAAAACAAGTTGGAGATATGGGTCTAGAAGCCCATTCATTAAAGCAAAATGGCCACCAGACAGTCATTTTAAATTCGATCTGAAAAATAAATGATGTGCATCAGGAACCTGTAATGTCTAATATATGTACCAAGTTTGAACGAAATCCATCCATAAATGCTTGATATTTGATGATTTTTCAGCACAAAAATGGACACCATTCGGCCATTTTGAATAGGATCGTCAAACCAATATATCTGTTTATCTATGACATGATGTATAATGAATATTTAAAATTTGAACATAATCAGTGAAAGCAAGTCAGAGATATGGCACGAGAGCCACATTCATTAAAACAAAATTGAATCTTATCAGAAAAACAAAAGTATTCGCATCAAGGTCCCATA